GAATTTGAAAAACAAAAACAAAAACAAAAAAAGGGTTTCATTGATTGATTAATTGATTGATTGTGAGTAAGTGTGTGTGTGTGTGTGTGTGTGTGTGTGTGTGTGTGTGTGTGTGTGTGTGTGNGTGTATGTGTGAGTGTGTGTGTGTGTGTGTGTTTGTGTGTGTGCGCGTGGTGGGTGACGGAGGGGGTGGGGTGTCAATCAATCAATCAATCAATCAATCAATCAATCAATCAATCGAACAATCAATCAATCAGTCAATCAATCAACGGAATTTTTTTTTTTTAAAAATCGAATGAATCTTCCACTAGAACAGGAAAATATACAATACTTCGTGTGTGTGCGTGGGGGGGCCTGTTGCGGGTTGGGGGGCGACCCCGCCCCCACCAATCAATCAATCAATCAATCAATCAAAAAAAAAAACAAAAAAAAACGAATGAATCAATCGATCAATCAATCAATCAATCAATCAATCAATCAAAGCCGCACGGCCGCGCGGACACGTCCGCGGGGTCGCGGACCTGGCCGCGGCCGCGGACTTGGCCGCGCTTGGCCGCCGTCGGGGGGGATTCGTAGGTGGCAACCGGAAGGGATAAAGAGGAGAGTCCGATTTCAATATGATTTACTAGAGGACCGTCGTATATAGGATCCATGGAGGAGAGACTAGGCGAGAAGGGGGATATAAGCCACAATGCAGACCAAGTTCATATTCTATGGGATACAGACAGTTGTGAGGTCCTTTGTCCTAGCAAGCACCATACTTCGGCTAGTCTCTATATTTCACTGGCATCGGGTGAAAAGGACGGTTGGACAAACCCGGACCGCCAGGATCGGAACTTAGCGGTTGAAGGATTAGCGAGGAGCACGTTAATGTGCGACTGCAACGATTGGGTTGTTGGACCAATATACGCACAGAAGAAAGGTTGTGCGCGGGTGCACCACATTACGAAATGGCTCTACTTGGCCCCCAAGCGACCCCTATAAACCTCGATTTTCCACATCGAGAAAGCGAGGTCGTGGTTTGACACTGCAACTTTCTGCGCTCCGACGAACGTCATAATCAACGCGGATTTGCTGTACAATGAGAGCATCGAGCAGAACAGCGCGCAAAACTTGAAGATCGTCGTGTTGCGGTTTAACAAACAAAACCATGGCTGAAAGACCCTTCTTCAACCCCCACAAACCCCGATTTGCCAAATCGACAAGGCGAGCTTGAGCGCTGGCAATGCCAACTTCATCAGTCATAACGACGAACGTGCTTCGATTTCACGTATTTGCATGATAGGTTCCACGACTGAGGAGAACAGAGCGCGGACCCTGAAGTTCGCCAAAATCCGAACTTGTCAGCGACCGTATTCCCGCGATCGTGGTGATTGCACCGGTGGGAGAGAAACCAAGATCCACGGTAGACCGAAAACGGACGCGGCCACTAGCACCCTCAGCAACCCTTATAAACCCCGACTACAACAATCCACAAGGCAAGCTCGTTTGCGCACCCATAGTCGTCTGACAATCGAAACACATGCAACAGTCCAGGCCGTTGAAAAGGATGGTTAGACTGACCCAGACCCTAGAAGTCCGCCAGGATCCGAACTTGAAGGTTGAAGGATTCACGAGGAACCGTATTATGCTCGGCTACAGCGATTGGGTTGTTGGACTTGTGTACGCTCGAAAGAAAGGCTATGCACAAGTGCACCATATTATGAAATGGCTCTACGTGGCACCCAAGCGACGCTCATAAACCCCGATTCTGCCCATCGAGAAAGCGAGGTCCTGGTCTGGCACTGCAACTTTCTGCGGTCCGACGGATGTCACCATCAACGCGGATTTGCAGTAGAATGACAGGATTGAGCAGAAGAGTGCGTGAAACTCGAAGATCGTCGTGTTGCAGTTCAACAAATGAAAGCATGGCTGAAAGAACCCTCCGCAACCCCCACAAATCCCGATTCAAGAAACCGGCAAGGCGAGCTCGCGCGCTGGCAATGCCAACCTCTGCAGAGTTAACGACGAACGTGCTTCGATCTCGCGTTTTTGCATGGCAAATTCCAGCTGTGAGGAGAACACAGCGGGAACCGCGAAGTTCGCCAAGATCCGAACTTGTCGGCGACCGGATGCCAACGATTGTGGTGATTGCACCGCTAGAAGGGCTTCCAACGATACCTGCGCGCATATGGAAAAAAAGGGCAACCTGCCAATTGTGGTCTTCACTTAGTTTCAGGCCGGAGTGTCCTTCGTGAAGTTCGCCGGGATCCAAACTTCACGAAAACGGGGCACCCGGTAGTCAACAACTGCATCCCCCATAAGGTATTTTAAAGTGCGTTCTCAGCGGTGAGTTGTGGGTTTGTGAAAGATCAGAAGAGAAGCCTTTTTTTGGCTTGGAGCACAGCCAGACGTTGGTGTTGCAGAAATGTGGTTAGGAGAAGTGAGGGTTTTGGCGGAGTGCGATATTGCAAGTCCGCCGGGATCCGAACTTGTCAAATCATAGGTTTTGGGGAGCCGAAGTGAACTGCTTGAGCTGCCTACGTTTCGATACAGTTGCCAATACTGCAAGTCCTCCGGGATACAGTTGCCAATACTGCAAGTCCTCCGGGATCTGAACATCACAACCACGACCCTAACAGACAATTCCATCACAAACACGACCCTAACAGACAATTCATGATTAACGTCTCCGCCGCCTATTCCAAAGCCCCAGATGGCGGGTTGTTAGCATGGCATTACACCCATTTCTGCAAGAGCAGAGCTATGAATGACTCTTGTAGAACAAAGACGATGAAAGTGGCGGGACTGACAAGCAATGTTCGGAAGTCAGCGAGCTAATACAATCAACTCGCGGGCATGTATTCCCAAGGCGGCACGCGAGGTCGCCATTCCGTGTCCAGCTGGCAGGCGCGATACCTTCATGTTTGATACGTTCGTCGACATGATGATCAACACACACGTCTGGGTGGTCGACAAATGATGAGAGCCCTCACGACCGTAAGGTTGTGAACTGAAAGGAAAGCTGGGTAGTTGGGAACCAGCCTAAAGTCCACCAGAATGGCAAGGGTAGCCACCCTTTTTTTTTTTTTCCCTTTGATAGAGTTTCTGGAAGGGCTATTGTTGGGGCTGATAAAAAGGAGCGGTACAACTCACAGATCTACTATTGCAGGGCCGAGGTCCCACTAGCAAAAAGGATAGGATCGAGCTCGTGAATCTGGATGTGTTTTAAGCAGAGATGCAGAAAAGCAGTTCAATCTCTATTTCCTTCACATCTCCATAAACTCGTCCAGATTCAGGCATTCGATCCAATCCTCTTTGCTACTGGGACCACACCCCAGGGCTAGCGGCGGTAAGCCGCTAGTACGTGGCCCTTGCAGAAAGTTTTTGTCGCCCGACATGCAAAACTCAGAGACCCCCTCCACAGCCAGGGGACTGGTGCTGTCGGAAACAAATATGGGTGACCTCCGAAGTGAAGCGGGTTTCATGCTAACACCTGCGGGCCTATGTGTGGTGTACTGCTTGTGTATTTAATGAAAAGTAGAAAAAAAAAAGAAAGAAAGAAAGAAAGAAAGAAAGAAAGAAAGAAAGAAAGGAAGGAAGGAAGAAAGCAAGAACCGAAGAAAAAGCTGCAGGAAAAAAAAGTAAAAAAAAATGGTTCCAGTAAACTATGTTCTTACTTCTACATCCAACAGAATGCCAGCCGGGAAAGGTTTGGGCGCCCAAAAACCGAAAAGATTTTGGCGTGGACGCTTTCCGCCAACCATCCCATTATTCGGAATAACTGGTGGCAAGCGTGTAGCCCAAACCTTTTCTGGCTTGGCAAAAAGGGTCCACCGACAGGCCGTCAGATCTCAAATGCCCAAATATGGTGGCCAAGATTGGGGTATTCTACTGCTGGGCCCCTTCTTCTAACTTTCTCGGTCTTCAAACAGGAAAGGTTTGGGCGCCCAAAACCAGAAAGGTTTTGGCATGGGCGCTTTCCACCAATTATTGTTATTATTATCCCGTAATTACGGAACCAGGTTCACAATCCGGTAGGAAGAGGCCAGCCGTCGTAGACACCAATCTCGGCCACCAGATTTCTGCATCCCACGCCTGTGCTGCCCTTGGGCACTTTTTGCTAAGCGGAAAAAGTTTGCTTGGGTGCCCAAAACCAAAAAGGTTTTGGCCTGGGCGGTTTCCACTAATTGTCCCCTGAATAATGCTGCTGTCGGATGTAGGAGTACGAGCATAGAATGCCCCCACGCCGAAACCTTTCTGGTTTTCGGCGCCCACGTTTCGGGGGGTCTTTCCAACAATTACCCGGGCCCATAATTCCAGCCATGTGTGTGTGTGTGTGTGTGTGTGTGTGTGTGTGTGTGTGTGTGTGTGTGTGTGTTTATTTTTCTCTGTGTGTGTTTCTTTTTTTTGTGTAATTTTAACTACGCTATATTCTACTCTCAATTTCACCTTTCACTAGTATGGTACCCACCACTACTCCTAACCCTATACAGGGGACCCCTCCAAGCCCTGATCAACGGTGGTCAGGGAGTAGGGTGGGGCCGCCGGTGGGCTGGTTTGGGGGGGGATGGGCAAACACAAAGACCGAACATTTTGCCAGTAGCTGCGCCTCCCATCTACTGAGAGTAGAGAGAAGAATTCTTTATTTTTTTATTTCTATTTTTTATTCACATGGCTGCTGGGCAAGGACGATAAACATACAAATGTGCCTAGCTCAGTTGGTACGCCTATAAACTGTTTAAGTCCAGAGCCTAAGTTCGAATCCTTGCCTGTGGCTCCGTCCGAGCCGTCCGCTCATGCAGAAGATGGACCAGGTGYGCCTCTATCCACCACCCAACATTCTACAAGGCACATGCAATTGGACACATGGTCGACCAGGTGCATTCGGACGAGTCCAACAGTTTGAACGTGCATGTTGAGAGTATGAGGAGCTCTAGTTCTATATGCACACAATTGGATGCTTTCTGGACCGGGTGCATCTGGACTGTTTGCGTCCTGGTGCGAGTGTCTATCTACAGCGACTACGTATATATAGAGGGCTTCATCGAGTGATCCTATGCCCTGTGCAAGAGATCTTCCCCTCACTGGCACTTCCTCTTTCTCACTCTCGGTCCTTCTGCTGCCCTCCGTGCTTTCTTTCTCCTTACCATTGATTACTATTGCCTGCCCGAGTTCTGTGTCCTCCCAGCGGTGGGCTTGCATCTGGGTTGTGCACGTGTGTACAACGCTGCGACGTTACGGTAGTGTAGCACTCATGGCCGCCTTCATGGGCAAGCCCGGTGCAAGCTCGGTGATGGCTGCTGCCTTGCTGCTGACTGTCTTGATATCTCTGTCGTTAAAGCGTGTGATGGGTGAATGCAACTTCAGGGGCAGCGGAGGCCCAGCGACGATATCGGACGGTGATATTTGCTGTGATGGACCTATCGTCCACAACGTGGACGGGTGAGTACTCAGTCTGATCAGTCGATTGATTATTATTATTATTATTTATTCCACTGTGTTTCCTCTCCGTACATCGTAGTTAGGCATTCCGCCTCCCTCTCACAAGCATCCCATCCTCTCTTGCTTGCAAAGAGTGTGCTTGACTGNGGTGTAAATTGTCTCACAGGCGTCGATGCTTTGTGTGTGTTGCCTGAGACCTGGTCAGTTGCTCTTCATCATTTTCCCGATTTATTTTTATTTTTTTTTTTTGTTGTAATTGGAAAATCGTCCAGGCTGTCCAGCATGTCGACCCTCAAATTAAAAAAAAAAAGAAAAAGGTCGGGCCGACGTAGGGATCGGGGAGGTGAGTGGCCTTCCTGTCTTCCCCGCTCTGCCCCATTTCCTCCGCCTCTGACCACCCCAACCCAAAGTAACAGCCCCTCCCACGTGAAGTAGAAGGACATGCGTTAAAATTGGAAGGATACAGAGAAGATTAGAATGGCCCCTGCGCAAGGACGACACAAATTAAAAGAGTAATAATAATAATTAAAAATTATTGTCCTCCGTCCGTCTCGGGTCTCAGCGATTGCTAAAGTCAGACTTGTGTCGTTGGTTGCTTCCTTGATTGGATAGGTGATTCAATCGCTCAATTGGACTGTCGATTGGACTGTTGACTGGATCGTTGATGATTAAACTTGTGTTTGAATTCCATTGTAAACATTAAGAGAAAAAACAAAAAGAAAGAGAAATGCTACATCCAGAACGGACCAGCAGGACACGAACTGCTTCCATATGTTCATCACGTCACACGTTCGTGTACCATCCAGCCATCTCGCAGCCATCTGGCTGTCCTATGTTCTTTACCTTCGTCCCCCGAATAGAACGTACGGTCATTATGCCTGTATTTGGGGCAGCTTTCCGTCCACATACAGCAATAATGACCTTTCGTTCGATTCGGTAGAAGACGGTAGCTTTTTGCGCTTATTTCGAATGCAAATTATGCTTTCAAGTTGGCTACCCTAAGGCTTCGTCTGGTCATATGCGCGCCGAGCTAAAACACGCACCTTCAAAGAAACCAGCCACCGAGTTAAAAAATGTTGCAGTAACGGCATAATTGAGCTTGGCGCAACCATGCATGGGCTCAAACACATCCATACAGTAGCGTCGAGTGGAATCAAAGATACTGCCATAGTGGGGAATTGGCCCATCCGAGATTGTTGTTGGCCTTTTTTTGCCGTTAGCTAGTTGTCCTTTATTATTGGCCCATCCGGGTTTTGGAGTACGAAGTGGGATCCTGACGTGTGCCTGTTTTTTTTTTTTTTTTTTGGCTTTTTTTCTCCCCCCTTCCTTCCCGGCTGATTCTGTTGTGCTGCAGTGTGGAGAAAACGACACGTTTCGTTAACACTGGGGCCTGCGCCTATGGTCCTTGCTCGGGTGGTAACTGGAACTATGCCAAGTGCGGTCGGAACTTCTACACCTCAGGAAGCCGTGTCTGCAGGAGAAACCTGCACGAGCCAGTTTATGGCGAGTGCGTCATAATAGAAATCACTCAGGCTACGTACACAGACAACACCAATTGGAAGGGGGAGGACTGTATCATCATCAGGACAAGCCCATGAACATGATGAGGATCAAATATGCGAGGTTCTTCCAAGCCTCACAAGTCACGTCGGAGAAGTCTTATAAGTCACGTTGGTGAAGTCTCATAAGTCACGTTGGTGAAGTCTCATAAGTCATGCAGGTGCAGTCTCATAAGTCACGTCAGAGAAGTCTCATTGGCTTGTCACGCAGGCAAGGTTTTTTTAAAAGTCAAGATCAATTCCTCAAATTGAGTGAGAGGCGCGGAGAAGATTTTGACCGCGATCATAGTCATCCATCCACCAGTCATTCAGTGCAAACCAGGAACTTCAAGAGAGGAGGAGAGGGAGATCCTCCTCTTCTTTTAAATGTGTTCGTCCTTGGCCTGCTCTGCTCCTTCTTTGTCCGCTCGTAGAACAGTGAGCATGACAGGCGGATGCTGGGAAGAAGTTAATGAAATCGGTACGGAGGACGGGAAGATAGATGGGGAGGAGGGGGAGGCAATGGTGAGGAGGAGGGGGAGGAGGAATGCAGGAAGACAGAGAGGAAGAGCCTAGGAGGAGGAGGAGAAGGAGGAAAAGGGAAACAAGACGGTGGTATGGGACCGACAAGCACCTCCTCTCCTCCTCCTCGTCGTCCTCCTCCTCGTCGTCCTCCTCCCCCTGCCCTTTTGCAGTAGCTTGATGTCCCCTGGGATGCAGTCATCTCTCTTTTTATTTTCCATTCTTGACTGAAACCCATCGTCGTCAGGTAAGAATAAAAATAAAAGGGAAAACTGACCGTGGGTCACATTCTTAGCTCGAAATGAGCAGAAAAAAACAGGTACCAGGGGCGGCGTCCAGACTCGGCAAAAAATGAATTCAAACTCGTCTTCCTGTCACTTTGTCATGCCTGCAAACAGTGGTACAGCAACTGGCGACATGCGCCCACACAGTACTCAAGATATCGTAACCAGATATGAGTTATCTTCAACTGGCTATGGCGACTGGGCGCCCACACAACTCACTGTTCGCACCCTGGATCACCCTGGATTTCCCACACGCAACACTCAGTATCATACACAACACACACACCTACTATACTATGCTACAGCTATGGCAGCGCTAGCTGCCTCTACCCTATCGCTACACTACACTTCTCTGCCCACTTCGTCTTCGGGCACACTGCAGACCG